TATATTTATGATATATAACGTAATTCCAAGCAAGCAGACAATGTATAATGACTAGATATTTTTAATGTATTTAGTATGTTGTGTTTAGGGAAGAAAAAGTATTCTTTGGATTTTGCTTTTCATAGTATTTTACTGGCCATTTTCTGGGTCTGAAGGATACAAATGACAGATAAATAGGCAAACAGCAATGAAGATGGTTGTGGGAAGAGAAGAATTGGTAGTGCCAAGAAATTGTTAAATTTCTTTAATCAATTAATATGCCAGGTTTTAGATTCACAGGAATTTGACAGTCTTCTGGCCTTTAGCCAGACCCTGAAAAACCCTGCTCTTTGGGACAATGATGCCAGGCTAGAGGTTGGGTGAGACAGCTACTCAGTACATCAACAGTATGGAAAGGACGATGGCATAAAGTTCACCAGAAGCAGCTGGCGCTAGTTAAAGAAAAGGGGACTTTAAAAGGGAGTGAGAATGAATGTGAACAGTTGACACCATGTCAATTGGTGGAAAATGAGCTAAAAAATGTGACCACTCCAAGGTTAAGGTCCAGGATAAGCAAAGAACACAGATGTCATCTATGGCCAGATGTCAGGCTGGTTGCCCTGTGAGTGAAGCCAATTGAGTGTGCACCATTCAGAGAGTGTAGGGGTGTGTGTGTGTGTGTGTGTGTGTGTGTGTGTGTGTATGTGTATGCTCATGCATCCATGCATGCATGTATGTTGATGTGTAGGGGGCTAGAGGTTGGGGTAAACTCAAGAAGATGTTTTCCATGTAATCAACCCAGCTCTCTTTAGTTTCAGTGAATCATTGCCATGTTGGCTTAATGTTGCAAGGTCTACTTGGTTTTCAAAAGAAATGATGAACCTAATAATTTATAGGAACTCTGTCAGATTTTAAATGTAGCACTGTATTAAAAAATTGTGTGAACCATACTAACTGTGTCCTTGGTCTGATAGAACTCTTTGGTCCTCCACTTCTCACTGCTGTTCACAGCTCATTTCAGGATTACATGATACATGCTGAGAATTGTGCTATTTGTTAACTGGGTACCCTCAAAATCTCCAACTGGATATGGCTCTAAGAAGATTTAGCACATAGGGTTATTTTGAAATTTAAGACAATTTATATGAAACCCTCTGGTACAATGCTGGGCAGATAAGAAGGCTCAATAAGTGTTGGCTCAGTCTGAATCAGCCTCACATAGTACTAAGCACTGGATTGGTCTTTTTCATGCCCACATTAATGGCCATATTCATGGCAGCTGTAGGAAGTATAAGTGGTTATCTATGTTGTATGATTTAACAATGACTGCCCTCCACAAATCTCTTCACCTTTTCCTGCCAAGGTATATATTTATGAAATAATGTATTAAATATGTATCTGTTAAATATAAATTCTTCCCACTCAAGAGCAAGTGGCCTTGGGAGTATGAGGTGGTCTTAGAGACTGTAGATTGCACTGACATGACTACTGCACCTCTGTGGTCCCTTGATTTCATGGTCTACCCCTTGGAGACCACTTATCTCTACAGCTTACTTTCAAGACTCAAGCAGACCCTTGAGATTACTAGTGTTCTAACTATAACTAAACATAAACCTGATTTCCTCCAAGAATCAGAGATGGCAAGTTAAGAAAAAATTTCTTCCTTCTGTGTTTTGGAAGTATCTAGTGTTCCTGACAGAATCAGCGAAAGTCTATCTTCATCTTTTTCAATTTACATTCCTTGCTAGCTGTCCCCAAGTGTCCCCTCACCTGTATCCCTGCTGTGACATATTTTAAAGAGCTACTCCTTAGTTTCCAGAAGGCAACTGGAGGCTCTTAGGGCAGAAGGAGATGCAGCTTCAACCTGGCATCCAGGTGCTCCCAGAGTTGGGCTGCCAGAACCTCAGAATGAGCAGGGAATTGAAGGCTCCCCAGGTGGGATCAGGGTGGAAAGATGTCCCAACTCTTAGTGATGTCTCCAGCAGGCCCAGGAGGAGCAGCAGAAACACACGCTAGTCCTGTGTGTTGGAAAGAGAAATGCTCATTGATTGCAAACAATGGAAGGAAGGTAAGCTTGTCCACATCTTTGCCTGGATTTGTTTTTGGTGTATTAAAGCTAAACGGCAGAGGCCGTATTTTTAGTGCATGTTAGTACATATTTCGTGTCAAGGTGAGCATAATGAACTTTCATTTTTGCAATCACTAAAAAAGGCATTACTCCTTACCGTCTATAAATAATGTTTCCTATTCCCCTCCCTGTTTCTTGCTATTGTCATTATCGCTAACTTCTGTGTATATAAAAGGAGAGATATCACTTCTAGTTCAGTAAGGCCACATTTTACATGAATAGAAGGTCTTGTCTGTGAAGACAATTCAAATAGTAGATCTAGAAACTTTGGGTTTAAAGTTTCTTGTGTAAAGTTTCTGATAACTCTCAGAAAGCGAGTTGCTCAGTTTGGATATGGTTTGGGGATGTCCCCCAAGGGTTCATGTATAGAAAGCTTGTTTCTCAGTGTGGCAATGTTGGAAGGTAGTGGAACCTTTAAGAGATGGAACTTAGTGGAAGGTGATTAGATCATTAGGGGTAATGCCCTCAGAAGGGATTAATGTAGTTCTTGAAGGACCTGGGTTAGTCCTTGCATGAGTGAGTTGTTATGAAACAGTAAGCCCAAGCCCTGAAGCTACCTCTGGCATCCTGTCTTACCATGTGACCTGTTCTGCATGCGCTCTTACCATGAGGCCACACACCATAAGGTCCTCACTGAGGCTGAATCCATGGGGCTACCTGATCTTGGACTTTCAGACTCCAAAGCTGTGAGTTAAACAAGCCCCTTCTCTTTATAAATCACCCACTTCAGGCATTTTGTTATAGCAACAGAAAACAGACTAACATACAAGTCTTGTTCCCCCAGACCACATAGAGTTGTCTGAGGTAAGTTTAAAATTGTTTTCTTACAGAGAAATGGGATAGCAGAATATAGGTGGAATATAGGAAGTGAGCATCCCTAGTGAGTAACAAATAGCACCTACCCTGGAGTTGAGCATTGTGATGAGATGAAAGGCACTTTCATCTCCAGTTGATTGCTGCAGTGAGTTTGGCCCAGAGCTTCAAGAACACACACCTGGATTTTTTTGTGAATAATAAAGCATGGTGTAGGTCAGAGAACATGACTGTGGGCAAGATTGAACCTTAAGGCTTCCAATTGCTGCTATCCGAGCTTAATTAAAAAGTGATATTAAGAGCACGTGTTCTGAGATCTTTACCTATGAAATAGAAGGACCCAGTGTGTGTGTGTGTGTGTGTGTGTGTGCGCTCGCGCGCGTGCATGTGTGTGTGAGATAAGGGGTGGGGAAGTAGGCAATGCAGAGGTGGAATCTTAGGGACAGTCATGGCAGTGTCTCAAGCCCTTGTGCACTGCACGAAATCTTCCTAGAGGAGAATATTCAGGAACAGAAGCAGCAGTAAGCTTCATGTTATGCATAGAATGTACAAACACAGGGGAAACAAACAGAGGGAAAAAGAGAGAAGATAGGAAAAAAAAAGAGCACGGGAGAAAGAAAAGCACTTAGAAAATTTTGCAACCAGCAGAGAAAATCCCTTTCAGAGGATATAAAAGAATACAGGTAAAAATCACTCAACATCCTTTAAGCTATATAAGAACATGACTAAAAATGAACCAGGAAGCAGGAAAAGACTGAGAAACTGATGACTCAAAATTGACTAGGGGACATTTTCTTGCTTCTAAGAAGGGTTAGCTGCTCAGAGACACATTTGTAGCAAGAGAAAGCCTGTAATTAACTTTATAGGGTGGTGTTCTTAAATGTTTATTGATTATAAGTAATTCTCTAGAAGATTCCTTAGTATTGAAAACCCCAGACTGGTATACCAACTGAATTGGTTACCCCTCTTACCTTCCAGGTTATAAAGCTGGAAGAAACCCCCAAGATCATAGAATACAGTATATCCTTTGTAACAGATGAGGATCCTGGGCCAGAGAAGTGAAGGTAACCAGGCACAAAATTTATAAGGTATTTGGGATTAGGTCTTAGTTTCTTTCATTGGACCCAGTCCTGATCTGTGAGCTCAAATCTAGACAATAGCTCCTGTCCCTGGTTCCCTTAACTACCTACCCAGGGGAGAGAAAAGTCAGACAGAACAAGGAAGAGAGAGTTGGAAATATCACCATTATAGTTTGGATCTTGAATGTTCCTCAAAAGCCCATGTGCTAGAGGCTTGGTTTCCAGCCCATGGTGATATTGGCAAGTAGTGGAACTTTTAATGGGTGAGGCCTAGTGGAAGGAAGTTGAGTGTATGACCTTCAGGGGGATATTGAGTTCCATGCCTCTTCTTGTTTTTCTCTTTGCTTCCTGGCCACCTTGTGGTGAACTGCTCAGTCCACCATACAGTTCCCACCATGATGTGCTGCCTCACCACAGGCCCAAAAGCAAACTGACCATGGACTAAAATGTCTGAAACCATGAGCCAAAATAAATATTTTTTCCTTTAAGTTGATTATCTTAAATATTTGTCACTCACAAAAAGTTGACTAAGAACTTCAAGCATTTGAATGAAAACCAAAAATATTTATTGTGTCCTCCTTTTCCTGTTTCTTAAAATAGTGAAGCCCTCAAAAAAAGGATTTTTTGCTGAAATTATACCTGATAAATAAAACAAAATGCTTATAAATAAGTAGAGTCTATCAAAAAAGTGTTTTTATTCTTAATGCAAATTCATATTAAGTTTCTTGGTTCACTGAATAGGGGCCAATTTCCCCCTACATTTAAAACTCTAATTCACATATTCACTATATGACAGCATAATTGCTGACTGTGCAATTATGTGTGGTTTTATTTGTGGGTATATTTGTTTTTGAGATAGGTTCTCACTAGGTAATTCAGGCTGGCCTTGAACTATGTAGTTCATAAGGACCTTAAACTTGCAGGCAATCCTCTTGATTTAGCCTTCCAAGGACTGAGATTACAGGTGTGCACCGCCATACCCAGCTTTTTGTGGCTTTAATTTGTTATGTTTGCCAAGCTTTTAAAGAATTTTGGTTAGAATAAATACTGAGATAAATGAAGAGATGATGCTAATTGATTGCAGCTTTCTACTTTTGTATTGTGCATAACAATGTGGTGTAGGAATACCTAACCTGTCTTTCTAACTTTGCTCACTGCATTTAATGTCTCTGTCTCAGCAGGGCACAGTGATTCTCAAGGAAAGAAGGTGGCACACACCTGTATCTGAATCTGACTCTTAATGGTTTAGGTGATGGAAGTTCTGGGTAATTTGAAGACTTTATGACATCTCATTGTGCGGGTTGTACTGCTGGCTAATTCAGAGAATTGCTGTAGTATTTGTTCCCATCCTTGGGCCATGGCTAAATTAGGATTATCAGTGATCTAAAAGGATTCTTATAATATAGCCTCCAACCTCTCGGTCAAAGGAAAAACTTATGGAGGATGTCTGAGTTAGAATGATAAGGGGTATGTGTGTGTGTGTGTGTGTGTGTGTGTGTGTGTGTGTTGGAAGGAGGGTTAAGAGTGAGAAGAGTTGGAGGGGAAAACACTCAAATGTAGCCATGTATCTCAAGGGAAATTTCCTCTCCTGATGTGAGCTTGATAGTTTACTATTTTGTCCTCAGACTTTCAGTAGCATCTTGGGTCATATTTCCTTCCTCTCTGCTTCATTAAGGATTAAGAGAGATTGGGTTAGGAAGTAAGAAACAGATTAGTTAAACATCCTAAAGACTGAATGATGATTTTGTATTTTGATAATCACTGTTATTTGTGAACCTCATCTGTTGAAAAAGTAAGTACAATGCTGTGTCAATGTAGGCTCATCATTTGTAACAAATAAACTACTCTGACAGAGATGGTGGGGAGCTGTCCATGCGTGGAAGGTAGAGGTATATGGAAAGGCTCTGCACTTACTACTCAGGTTTGTTGTAAGCCTAAAATTGTTCTAAAAATAAAGTCTATTCTTTTAAAGTACACCTTCTTCTAGTTGTCTATCAGCACTAAGTGTCTTATAAGTTCATGGGTATTTATGTGAGAAATAGTGGAGAGTCCCTTATTGCATGGAGTATGCTGACATATTTCCTTTTCTTCTCTACTCTTCCAACCATGTTTCACTTCTTTATAGAGCTGCTGGGCTTTAAATCTTTTGCCCTCAGTGAAAGGTTCATGTAGGCTCCAGATAGTGTGTGGTATGTAGCAGATGTTCCATCAATTTTATTGACTGTCTGAAAAAGGAAGGAATGAGTGACCCTGACTTGGAAGTTGTGAGCTCTGAAATTAGTCTCTGTTCCACATTCAAGGGACATTTGTTATGCTTCAGGGGAGCTGACAATTTTTTTTTTAATCCATACATATTTGTTATGGGTTTCTTCTTTTGATAGAAAAATTCTTTAATCAAAACAAGTTTACATCAACACTTACAGCTTAACTAGAATAAATCTGTCCAAAACTCTGTTATGGACAAAACATATAATGAGTGATATAGCAGAGTTCCCTCAAAACAGCTCTATTTTAAGACCTTGCAAAAGCAAAAATCCAGTTACTGAAATAATTCAGATTTTTTATGTACAGATAAAAACAACTGTCTCAGAGGTCAAGACATACAATTCCTGTCACACACAAGCACTGGTAATAAGTCATTTTCCCATATTCATATAACTTTGAAACATAAGGACCAATCTTTCTACCTATTGAAAACTGCCAACTGACCTAAAATTTTTGATCTTAGAAATGTTACCCTTTAGTTAATAAACTCTTAAATTTTGTGTTAATGTTGGTTCACCCTGATTTAGTCCATATACATCAAAATACAGACTAGCATTGCCTTGGGTTTCTTAACAAATATGTATGTTCCTATTTTTAGAATAGGATATTATAAATGGAAAACATTTTAGAGATCATTTAATCAAGTGCCAACATTTCTCAGGTGAGATTTCATTTGTGTGTGTTTAAGGAAACAGATTTCAAGATAGGTTTACTGACATGTTCAAGGCCAGGAAGCTAGTCAAGGGCAAAGCTGGGGGAAGCCCAGTTCTGACTCCTGGTAGCACATTCATGATGACATAACTCTCTCAGAGAAAACCTGATCTAGGAAGGTACTCTGGGAGGTAACAAATGTCATGTTGCTGGTGTCCTTCTATAGGAGCATACATTTAAGGTGTATGTTTTCCCTATGGTCAAGCTAATTTCTACTAGAAAAGATGTTTTCCCTCCTATGAGGCCATATGGCTTCATTTGGACTCTGAGTTGAAGTTTTTAATGAGTTTCTAAAATGAACAAAGAGCTAGTCACATACCTAGCTGTTGTCTTGGATTGCTGCTGGGAGGAGAAAATTCAACAAAGTGGGCCCTGCTGATACCCTGCAGAGAATTAAGTTATACATGAAATATCAAAATGGGGTGTGAGAACAAACACGTATGTTAGACTCATCTGAAGGTATGCACTTTTCCCTGATTGGCTTGGAAGCACCACTTGCCTGGTGGTGAAATAGAGTCTGCTCACATGTAAAAGCTGGCAACAGACACAGAGCAGGCAATCAGTTGAAGTGATGTATTGAAGAGGATCAAGATGTCATTAAGAGAAGGCTTGAAGGCCTTTGGAATTAGATGGAGAGAGGTTGAGTTCACTCTATGTTTAATTCTTTACAAAATATTTATAGTCTTTGCTTGCCATCTTTGCTAAATTACTGTATTCTTAGATGCTTGATCCACCCACTACCACCCCAAAGAGTAGAATCATTTGGAAAACAACTAATTAACTCTACTGTTAGCTAGAGACTTTTGGACATTTCAATTGATTAAAAGAAGAGGAAGAAACTGAGCCAATGGGGTGGAGGACCCATGGAAATGGTTAAGAAACAGGAGCCTATTTTAGACAAATCAGTAATGGTTTGGTTGTCTTTATACCTTTTACGGATTATTCCTCATCACTTCTAGAAAGGCACTAAAATATGTTCCATCAATTTTGTTCTTTTTTTTGAATATAAAAAAACCCCCAGCCATGGCTCCAAATATTTTTAGTCCAAGTGGACTTAAAAGATCCCTTGCAAAGGTGCAAGGAAAAATTGGGGGGATTTATCTGAAATAAAATCTGATTAGATCCTAGCTTTAGTACTGTCCTTCCCTATTTTCTTCCTTTTTTCTCCTCCTCTTCTCCTTCCTCCTCCTCTTGCTAACCATTCCCCTTTTTCTCCCTCTATCTCTTTCTTCTCTTTGGAGAATAAGGAAGAAAATGGCAGGAGAATGTTGGGGCTGGAGAATGTGCTTTCTAAACTCTTTATCCCTGCCAAGAGAATATTTATCAATGATAAAATGTAGACCCTGGATGATAAACAATTTCCTTTTTCTTAACGGCACATTTTAAAGATGAGTAGACAGGGCTTGGCTGGAGAAATTTTGTGGTGCTACAGCCTGTTCCTGGGGTGGGTAGGGGGCTGGAGAGACCAGGCAGAGGGATCAGGCCTTCTTCCATGGCCTGTGTGGGAACTGAGCTCATGGGTAGCTGGACTTCCCATCCTGCAACCAAGAGTTGAGAAGCAGCCCTGACTCATGCTGCTCTTGTGCTCCAAATGTGTGTGCGGGGTCTGTTCCAGGTGATGAACATGTGGCAGCAAAAAGTACCTTTAATTCTCTTGCCAGCCTCCCCCACCTGAGCTTCCACAGTGCCTAGTTCCTGGAAGAACTGAGAAAATACTGTGAGAAATCATTTGTTGGGTGAGGTCACTTTTGGATACTTTATAAATGTCTCTAAAAGTTTTTATATGCTTGCTTTTTTTTTTGGTACCGGGGATTGAACTAGGGTCCTTGCGCTTGCGAGGCAGGCAGTGGAACCACTGAACTAAATTCCCGCCCCTTTATATGCTACTTTCTGATTTATACTATTTTTAAACCCCTCCTATCACTTCTTTCACCCCTATAACATAATACTACATTTGTAATAATATGAGACTTGTGCTTTCAGTGAGAGGCCATAGATATTAGAGAAAT